TTTAGATTGGATATTAGGAAAAACTTCTTGATTGAGGGAGTTGCCAAGCATTGGAACAGGCTGCCCAAGGAAGTGGTTGAGTCACCAGCTATTTAAAAGCCGTGTAGATGTGGTGCTTAGGGATGTGATTTAGTGGTGGGCTTGGCAGTGTTTAGTTTAACAGTTGGAGGCAATGATCTTAAGGGTCTTTTCCAACCTAAATGATTCTGTGATTTGGTAGGTGCTGCTCCATCAAAGAGAAACAGCTTCCATTCATAGCTATATACTGAGGGATCGTAGTCATAAAGTAAGGGACGAGAAGAAAGCCTGCCTCCATGTAGGATTTTAAGGACAAGTTTCACATTTCACCAGCATCCCTTAAATGCCCTGGCTTTGCCATGCCTCTGCTCCTGAATAATCCTGTTGAGTTCAGGTCTGTTCAAGTCAGTGGTAAACAGGATCCAAGCCATAGCTTGTTAGCTGTGAGCACAACATGTTTCTCGTTATGAGACCATGGATCTCGTGGCTGGCTAAATGCTGTGCATGTGCTGATAAATTGCTGTCCTGTGTTACAAAATACTGGGTATCAGTTGAGGTTGAGTAGTTCTGTGCATATCTATAGATACTCTGATGAGATAGTCATTCGTCTGAATGTGATCTGGGAGAATGAGAAATAGTGTAAGCTAATAATATTTTTTTTTTCAGCATTTTTTAAAAGCTTCATGTTCCTATCACATAATTATGAGAAAATGCATGATGTGAGCTAAATGCAGTTTTGAGAACTATCAGGAAAAATAACAATGTAACTGTTCTTTTTTTTTTTCTTTCCCTTTCCACCCCCCTCCCTTCTTCCCTCAAAAGATGAAGTTATAACTTCACATGGTGCAATTGAACCAGATAAGGACAACGTCCGCCTAGAGCCATATTCCTTGCCACAAGGTTTTATGTGGGACACATTGGATCTTAGCAATGCTGAAGTTGTAAGTAAACCAATTTTTATATGTATCTAAAATCATTGACGTTTATTCTGATTGATGTGTGTGGATAAATCTTTGGGTTTTTTTGTGTGTGTTTTCAGCTGAAGGAGTTATACACACTGTTAAATGAGAATTATGTAGAAGATGATGATAATATGTTTAGGTTTGATTATTCACCTGAATTTCTTCTGTGGTGAGTAGCAAGTTCCACATTCCGCTCTGGCTGGAGTGCAGAGAAGGGTGTTTTTATTACATCTTCTTAGGCAGTAATTTGTAATTATTTCTGTCATCAATTCTAGGGCGCTACGTCCTCCGGGCTGGTTACCCCAATGGCACTGTGGAGTTAGAGTGTCTTCAAACAAAAAACTGGTAGGATTCATAAGTGCCATCCCTGCAAATATTCGTATTTATGACAGGTAAAATGCACTGTTACTTTTGTATTTGTAAAAGAATAACACCATAAAACCTTGAACTGGTATCCAGTGCATAGAGAATTTAGAGAAAATGAGGCTCATTGGCCATAAAGAGTCAGAAGAATCTTGTGTATGTAACAGAGACTTTTTTCCACTCTGCCCCCACCCCACCAAAAAAAAAAAGCTTGTGGGGTCCTTATAATGAAGACCAGTAATACATATTTAAGGAGTTTTGTCATTGATGGGTGATACAGATAATGACATAGAATTTTCTGACCCTACTGGAAAGTATTTAAAGGATAGTCAGTTAGCTGGACTTCCTCCGCCAAGTCGTCATACACTGACAATCATGAAGTATGATACCATATAGCATGTGCTTGGATGCCATTCTGCATCCTAAAGTAAGGCAATTAGTTAAGTCTTGATAGAGCTCTAAAAAAGGGGTGTGGCAAACACCTTAGACACAGCTTGCATATTGCACAATTTTCCATTGCAGTCACAATATCGTAGATTAGTATTTGTTGCAGATGTACTTTGTCACAGGCCAATTTGTTCTTACCTCAAACTATTCTGTCACAACATGGAAAACTACAATTATGCAAATGAATATATGCAATGTGAACTCTTTTTAACTTTTCCACTGTTTAATGTTCTTTTAGTGTGAAGAAAATGGTAGAAATAAATTTTCTGTGTGTCCATAAGAAACTGAGATCTAAACGGGTCGCACCTGTACTGATTCGGGAAATAACCAGAAGAGTAAACCTGGAGGGAATTTTTCAGGCTGTTTACACTGCTGGAGTTGTACTCCCCAAACCTGTGGCCACTTGCAGGTAACCTAGGTGATGTTCACAATAGTATCAGTTCCTATAGCAGTCATTTTAAAGAACGCTTTATGTAATCAGCTAGAAACAATAAAAGCATAAAATTCAAAGAAATTAAATGTTGTGGCCTTGACTAACCTGAAGGCCTGAGTGTTTGTCAGGGTGGTTTTTTGGTTTCTTTTTTTTTTCCCCCTCTTTC